CCCCATCTTCACTGCACAGAGCAGTGAACCTCTCCCCATCTTCACTGCACAGAGCAGTGAACCTCTCCCCATCTTCACTGCACGGAGGCTATTTTTATACTCAATTATCTTACTGTCTGTTGGAGAACGCCGTCTCCACCGGGTCAAGAGATTCACAGCTGACACGTGGAGAAGTTGCAGGTCACCGGTTTATTCCCTGACAGATTGCAATCCGGGAGCGGCCGTCTGACATACATTCAGCATGTACAGGAGGGGGCTCTGCCATATGTATCAGCTGTATCCCTTTTAAAGCCCTTTGGGCATCTCCCCCCCTCTCTCGGTACCTTCCGTCTACTTGACAACCACATTTTTGACACTTGCTCTAGTTAGTCGGTTAGTACTTGTCCTTGTGGAAGGCTACAGATACGTAAGGGCCGCTGACGTTTTTCTGTCGCTCCCTCTATCGGTCCCGATTAGGTAACCTTGCCCTGCTGGCACCAGTCAGTTCTCGTTTCAGTTAACTGCATTTTTTAGAATGAACCCCCCCCCCCTTTCACCATGCCCTGCTTTAAACTATATTCTCCTTTTCCTCTATTCATTGTATGTTCTTTATAATTCTATTGAATCCCACATGTCCCAATTTTTTTTAAACATGTTGCTGGCAACAAACTCAAATTGAGCATAACACATCGTCATAAAACGATACAACTCAGTTTCAACATTTGATATGTTGTCTTTGTTGTTTTCAATTAAATATGGGTTTATATGATTTGCAAATCATTGCATTCCGTTGTTTACATTTTACACAGCCTCCCGACGTTTTTGGAAACAGGGTTGTATAATAGAAGTCTTTCTCGTATTGCCTAAAATAACTGCAAGGCGTCTAACGTGCAACTGCAACGGGCAAAGCAGCAGTCGCTGTGTTTTATGGTTAGTAGCACAAGGTTGGGAGCCCACCATTACAACAAAGCAGCCCCGTCGTATTAAGCGGAATACACGTGCGCTGTACTTAGGCTGCAGCTAACTTTAAAATTTCAGTGTTGGGTTGAAACGTTAACTTTGGCTATAACTATGTTTTTCACACTGTACTTGAGACGCAAAACGGACAGAAAAACAGACCAGGTCCCCCGAATCACTCCTCTTACTCTGTGCGTCCATGGGAATGTCCTGACACGTCCTCTGAAAACATAAATAAAGACATTTTATCCTTTTATAAAGGTTGCAAAACCAGATTAACAAGTTTACAATTGCATTACCTGCATCTTATTGGTTTTTCATTTGGCAAATGAAAAGCGATGCTTCCCCAGCCGGTTAACCCCCAAACTCCATTAAATAATACAAAAATATAAAAATGTAATCAAAATTTACCAATAACAATATTCCCTAAAATGAATTACAAGCAATACGAAAAACAACAATGGATTCCCGGATTACATTGGAAACAGTACAGCGCATTGTAAGAAGTTGCATTACTCAGATGGAGCGCTGAGGGCGCATCGTTATAACTAAAGAACTGATACCTTTTTTTCCTCAAACATGCAGTTAAATAAGGTTCAGATTTTGGAATACTTACGAGTTGAAACAAGGGCTAAAAATGAGAGGGAAACCAAAACGCAGGGAAAAGGCGATGACTAGCGCAGGTCTACAGGGCTACACCTGTGTTACATGGCGTTTTAACACTGGAAAACGGTCAGAAACCTGTTCGGCAACGTCTGGCCGGCCGGCAGATAAAGGTCTGCCAGCGGCGACCAGAGGAAAAACTATAAAGCTCTCCAAGCGCCAGGGGGCGTGGCGACTGGAGTCCGGCTTCACCGACTCGATGGTTGCTAGATGTAACTGGCTTGACGTAAGAATGTTTAATGGTTTGTAAAGACTATTGATAACAATTAAATAAATATTATATATTCCCATGTAAATTAATCAGGAAAATGCGCAAAACAAATATCAACTTAAAGACTTAGTCCAATTTCTTTTGCAATATATTAAAACAAATGTACCTTTTAACAAGTATGTAAATCATGTATATAAATTTACTTAAATATTTTTATTTTAGCTAAATCAGTTGGTAAGCGGTATGGATCTGTGTGGAAATATCTCGGGTCAATAATGCTTATAATAACTGGTTTTTAGTAAAATATTATTTTTGTTCGGCAAAACTTCAGTCAGATGTATAACTATGTATTTCAGTCAATAACTAGCAATAAACAAACAATTGCTCTGTGTTTGGCGATCACAAAACGGCATAGCCTGGGCACCAGACGTATAAGACGCGTGTCATTTCATCAGGGGTTCTCAGAAGCATTTTGAAAGTGGGGGGGGGACACACACTGGAATAAAACTAATATTTTATGTTAAATGTGGGGGAGACACGTCAAGTTTAATGGCGGCGAAGCCCACGTTTTTCTTAAAGTGACTACGGACCCCATGTTGTTCTCATTTTAGGGGTGTTTTTTTTTCCGTTTGTGCTTATGACTGTCTCTCTGGTGCCAAATGTCAGTTAACACAAATTCATGTAAGATTTTCCTATAAATGCCTTATGGTGACGCCCACTAATGGCGAACAACATTCCCAGCTTGATCAGTAGAGCTGAAGGTCCTCGGGTGGACAGCATGGAGGTATAACGATTCATTTAGCGATTTATTAACACGAATTTTTATGAAAAAAGTCAGACTTTTTTTTACTCTGCATGCTTTATTCGAATTCTGTAAAAAGGTCATTTGACAATATGAATATTCTGTAGAGGAAACTATAGAACACCTTTCTCAAGGCATTCTACTGGGATAAGCAGACTAAATACATATAAAATATAACAGAAAATGGACTTTCTGAAGGACTCTATTTTTCTAATCCTCCATATGCGTTAATCAGCTGTACATCTTATCTACCTTTGGCAAAGCAGTACTGTGAGTCACATATCTGGACTTCAAAAACAAGCTTTTGCAATTCTAGGGATAGATCTCACTCACGTACATTTATGACGGCAGAGTGTGTTTGGAAGGTCCTGCACCCCACAAGGATCTATACTATTGTATCTGTGCAAAAGCTACATACCTGATGAAGTGGAACAAGATCAAAACACAATTGTATCAACACAAATGAATGACCCTGAAAACACTGTCACTAGCAACTCCCGAAACTTCAGAAATTAAATGAATAACTTTGGAAGCATCGCATCTTTTCCGGATCTGCAGTCCTGCGAATGGAGAAAAAGAATGCTTAGTCATTGTTGCAGAAAACAAAAACTGCTCGTGAATGCACAGGTGTGTACTGTGGTGTCGTGGAGAAAGAAATACTCACATATCCTCAAATGGACTCATCTTCAGTTCTTATAATACATAAAATCCTATAAACAAAAAACAAAACAGTCCTGAAAGTTCTCTAATGTAAGAGCGCCCAACTGGTTGGCTGAAACAAATTCTTGGTCTGGACTTTTATTCTCAGGACCTGAATTACCCGCCTCTGCATTTTAGTCACTGTGAGAATAGCAATGGGACAGCCATTACTTACGATGAGAAAACATGCTCCGAGTACCACAGCCTTCACTCTGACGTCAAGGTCCAGAGGGAAGTGCACGGCAAAGTTGTTGGCATTAGTGAACAACTCTTGGGCCAGGCCGGCCCAATGTTTGGTGATCCTGCCGACCACAATGGCTTCGTTCAGAGATTTCACCTGTGGACACAATGTTTAGTAACTGATTACACAGATTTACCCTTGAGATTAATGAGACTATCAAAGTATTTAAGGTATGCAGTATGTGTTTGAATGGACCGACAAATTAATAGAATGGTAATAACACTTAATGCCTTTATTCAAGGCGACTTATAGTAGAGGGAAGGGTTACAATTTACATGTGCTGGGATTTGATCAAACAACCTTCATGCTGCTAGTGCCACAATTGAGCTACAATAGCAGTGCATACCTCAAAGTCTGTGTCACATCCACATATACAAAATGGCCCAGTCAGTTTCAGTACTGGCTCATCCCTCTCATTCCTGATCATGAATTTAGGGAGAAATGGATGCAATTCCTGAGTGACGGATCCGATGGGGTTCCCAGGAGG